ACACAGAGAACACAGGGCCTTTGCACTGAGCTGTACCTCCAGCCCTTTTTATTATTTTATTTCTGAGACAAATTCTCCCTGAATGGCTAAATTGCCCAGGTTAATCTTGAACTAGAGATCTTCCTGCATCAGCCTTCTAAAATGCTGGGATTGCAGACATAATCCTACAAGACCACCACATCTTGTTTCATTTTCAACATACATAGGACAAAGAGTACTTACATATACTTACATATTTTTCCCTTACATATATTTGTTGTTTTCTACTTGTTTGTTTGTTTCTTTGTTTCTTCAAGGCAGGCTGGCTTATACAGTCCAGGCTGGCTTCAAACTCACAGTGATAGTCCTGCCTCAGCCTCATAACTGCTGGGATTATAGGCACATTTTCTGAGATAGGAAAGATACAGCTCTCAACCTGATGTATCAAATTCATATTTCCCTAAATCAAAGAATGCATTCCAAGGAACAATGGAGATTAAGAATGGGAAGAATGGGCTGGGGAGATAAGTCGGCAGTCTAAGTGCCTGCCTGGCAAGTGCAAGGACCTGGGTTTGATACCTGGTACTGCGTGCTGTGCTAGCTACAGAACCCTGGGCATGCCGAGCCAGCCACTGAAATTGGGTGTGCTGGTGCAGGCCTGTAATCCCAGTGCTGGGAGGCTGACATAAAAGGATCACTATTATGTTGAGTTGAGCTGTGTAGCGAGACCTTGTATCAGGGATATATATAGAGATCTCTCTTTCTCTCTCATATATATATATATATATATGATTATATATATGATTTCTTGGGGGCTGGTGGTGGGGGAATCATTTAGGAGGAGAGGATAGGTGCCCAAAGGAATGAAGCATACACAGTTGGGAGCTGGGGAATAGGAATGGGAAGTAGGACCAGCTCCTGAGAGACAGGGGGCGTCCTAAGTGGGTTGCCTCCAAGGTCATGTCTCCAGAGAATGTTTTAAAGGGCCAAGTCATGATGTGGGTACAAACAGGTCAGCCAATAAGAATACAAGTCCAGTCGCTGAGCTAATATTGATCCAACAGTGAATCAGTATTCACTACTGGGGGAACACAGCAAAGGCATACGGATGACATCATTCACCTTGGTCTTAGTCTTGCCTTCAGTTTGAGGGATCTTAGCCTTAGCCTTAGCCCTAGTGGGTGGGAAGAGGGTCCTCCCTTAGTGAGATAATGACTTATACCTATGGGAAATCCCAAGAGGGTCATACCAATTACAATATAATCTCAAACTTCTGTTTGTCCTTTAGGGAAGTATGTAAATGAGGCCATTTGAGGTCTTGCCTTCTTCTGAGGCACCTCCAGCCACAGTTGTGGTGCGCTCACCCTCGGCACTGACTCCCTTGGGTGCTCAGACCTGTCTGACTGCCTATTAATTTCCATCTAACTTAGCTGCCTACAATACCAGCGTGCCCAGCTTTCCTGCACGTAAAAGAGCCTGCATCAAAGGCTGATCCATGTTGCATATTGCTCATAAAAGATTAAGCCTAATACCAAATAAGTATTACAAAATTTTCATCCAGGTTTAAAACAAAATTTATCACCACGGTGATCAATACTCGAAAGTGAACTTGGGCTTTTTTTTTCTAGAGATAAGGTTCTTGCTAGGTAGTCCAGGCTGGCCTTGAACTCACTGTGCCATCCAGTTGGCCCCACACTTGCAGGATCCTCCTGCCTCAGCTGCCAAGTCCTAGGATCACAGGGGTGTGCCACCATGCTCTTCTATTTGCATTTTATCTCAGTTCCTCAGAGTGTGGTGTATGCACTGCTCAAACTGCAGCCACTGGGGTTCAGTTAAGAAGGCAGCCTCAGGGACCTCCCCCAACAGAAAGCTTGAATCTGGTGATTTCAGGGGAAGGGGATTACAGTATGTGAATTACCAAATCTCCAGAGAATCCTGAAACAGACCTGACTGGGATGCAATGGATGGATATTTTCCTGTCATTATTATTTTTTGTTGTTCTTCATTTATTTGCTTGTTTAAGCTCTTTCCTTTTTTTCTTTTTTGTTTTTTGTTTTTTTGTTTGTTTGTTTGCCAGGGGATGGCTCATTCCAATAGAGGTCAGGTGGTGAACAGAAGATTTAGCTCCTCAGAAATTTACAGAAGAAAGAAAGGAGAATAATTAGCTAGGTAAACAGGAAGCTAGAATCTTCTTGGAGATAAAATGAACTCACAGAGGCTGGGAGGAGAAAGGGAATGAAGCCAGTTGTTGACTAAGGCGCCTCCTTTTCCCTGGAAAAGTACTTGGAAGAGCAGCTGAGGGGGGAAGATGGAAAGCAGGCTTTTCAAGAGTGGATGCAGCTTCCGGTTTCCATTCCAGCTACCTGGTGGAAGACTCCTCATAGAAGGAGACAGCTCAGAGGTAAACCAAATGCCACTGCAGTCCCTGGCAACCTACTTGGACTTATCTGAAGGACACGGCGTTCTTTTACCTGTCACTGATGTACTGTAGCCAGGGGTAATAGATTTTGTTGTTTATCATTTTAGCCTTTCCTTGCTCTTAAGACTTGGCTTTTCTATATACAGCCTCTTCCCCCACACCATGAGCAACAAATTAAATGGCAAAATGGATAGAAGCACTAATCTGTGACTAAATATTTAACAAGGGGGCAGAAAGGATTTACATTATGACCTTCAAACACTGGAAAATAAATGCCTTCAGTTGTCAACTTTCCAATTTGACAAGACTGCCAGGGCAAAACAAAATTTCCATGCATTTGATTGACCCCTTGGGAGCTGGGCTATTATTAGCAGCCAAGAACTTACCAAAAAATATCTGAAAAATATCAGAAGAAAAGTGATTGAAACAGAAGTATTTTAAGCAGGTCAGCAGGGCAAAGTCTGCAGGAGAAAGATGATAAAATAGTATTTCTGCTTATGATACTTGTGGATAACACGTTACACACGACACACACGGGTTTAACGATTTGTTTTAATTTAGCACATATTTACTGAGTGGCTATCAGGTTGAACACTCTGGCATACTGGACTCTGTAAGGTCTAGGTCCCTTTCCCTACAGGACCCCATGAGCTAGAAGTGTAGGAGACGGCACACTGCTCACTATAACTGGTATACCTGACCAGGGTTTGGATAGCAGTTGGCAGAAGGAGCTACCACTGCAGCAGCTACTGAGGATGAGCACCCAGACATTGGTGCTGGTGCTTCGACAAGCTTTCCGGGAAGATGGAGCATTTCACCCTGGGACTTCAGCAAACACAGGAGAGTGAGGATGTCATCCGGCAGAGGAAAGAGGTTAGCAGGACATGGCCAGAATGAAAGGACTGGAGTGGAGTGGCGAGACGTAACGGTCCATGTGGTTCCAGTTATAATTCATTCTATCACAGTGCACATTCATTTATTCAGTGAACCTTTAGAGGGTGCTGGAGGAGGTAGGCCGGTGCAGTGTACAGGACACAGAGGCTGAGAGACGTGAGTTGCCCCTTCATGACTCCAGAGATTGACAGGGAATGGTGGAAGATGAGCCTGGATCCAAAAACCAAGCAGAAAAGCACCAGCCCTCTACAAGGTGGAAGCATTCAGGGGCATTCCAGTAATTCCTTTCAGAGCAAGCTACCATTTCGCTGAGCACCTCCTGAGCGCTGAGCTGAATAGCTGTGCTACTGCTGATCCTTGCAGCAATTCTGCACGCTACGTGTTTCCCCTATTTGCAGATAGGAAGAGAAGCTCAGATGCCTGAGAATGCACAGTTCCTAATACGTGATGGCTGGATTGTGCAGGCGCAGCTCTCACTGGGTGGATAACTACAAATGCTGAAGAGCTGAATCGAACCCACCCCAATCCGTGCCAAAAATACCACCTCCAAATGCCTCGGGACCACTCCCATCCCTGATGCTGCGGGCAGCTCTAAGGAGTCTGTGCAGGTGACTTATGTGTCTCTGCTCTTCCAAGAGGCCAGGGCTCACTGCCTCACTGGGCAAGACTGCAGCCTAACGCTGCCCCACCCCATCCCTATCCCCACCCCCCTCACATCAAAGATTTCCAATTACTGCTCTGCAGAAAATGTCAAAAGCATTATTCAACCATTCATTATTCCAAGTTTTGTAATTTTTCATATGTTTTTACTCTTATCTTCTAACACTCGAAAAAGACCAGCTCCTTCCTCTTAAGAGAGCTTAATTTGCAGAGCTACGCAGTCTCCCTATTATGTTCTTATCGTCCTCTCCCTGGGGTAGGCAGAATGACAAGGATGACAAGAAAAAAAAACCAAAAATATTTGAAGGCCTTCCTGAAAATCCACTGGAAGAATCCGAAAATCGTGGGGCTTCTGTTCCTCGAGTGACCTGGACCAAGGCCAAGGGCGCCAGGTACTGGTGCGCAAGGTCCTCTCAGCGGAGTGCCCAGCTATCGCTCTCGGGCTCCGTAAGCACCACCCCGCCCGGGGATTCCCTCTCTGGCCTTCTTCACTGGGAGATCGAGCAGCGTCAGGGGGCAAGAGGTCCCTCTCCAGAAATTCTCGAGCCAGTGCTAAATTAATTTTAGTATCTAAGGACCAGACGCCAAGGGTAACTTGGGGTGGGGCTGGGGCTTCGCCCTTGTCTTATCTCCCTATCCTCTCCACCCCATTCTTTGATAAGGTAATGGGCATTTTTTGGATGCTATCTGTGTAAAATGCCATGCAAAAGCAACTTCAAGTCCTCTAGCTCTCACACTTGCACCTAGGTGGCGCCCCAAGGCCCGCCTGCTTGGAATTTAGAGCCACTTTCTCCCTGGATCATTTTCTCCCAAGATCCGCAGGTTTAAGCAGCAGGCTCACCAGAACAGCTAGTTCACCGGGAGAGACGTCCTGCCAGCCCAGAGGCTCGCTCCGGGGAATCCCCGCCCACCTTGTCCTTCCTGCGGGGGAATCCCCGCCCCCATCCCTGTCACTCCAGGAAGGGAGTTCCCGCCCCTCGAATCAAACGGAGGGAGGGAATCCCCGCCCATCCTGGAGGCTCGGAGGATCCCCGGCGCTGCCTGCGAGGAGCCGACTCCCAGTGCCGACGCGTGCTAGCCTCGGCCAGGGAACGCGGGAGGGAGGCTGCCGCGGACGCCACCAGAGCAGCGGGCAGAGCCGAGAGGGCTGGGATCGCGCCTCCGGCGGCTGCGGGTGAACCACGACGCCGCAGCTCCTGGCAGGCGCCGAGGCAGCCGCTGCGCGGGGACCGCCGGGCGGCGCCTGGGTCTGCGCGCGGAGAGCAGCGGGAGCCTCCGCCGAGCAGCGAGCAGGTGAAGCCACAGTCCCGCGGCAGCCGGGACGTGGGGCTCGGGTGGGCGCGGGGCGCGGGGAGCTTGGCACGCCGAGACCGTGTGGATGCGCAGGGGAAAGTTCAGTGACAAACCGGGCGCGGGACCCCCAGCCCCTGCAAGGTGAGTGGGGCGCACGGACCGGGTCCCGCATTGGGTGGTACAAACTCCTCTTCCATCGGGTCGGAGGTGAGGGGTGGGGAGAGGAACTGGCTGTACAGAGCGGGGTCGTGACCGTGGGACAACCAGAGACACACTGCTGGGGACATTGATGACAGGGTCAGCATTGCTTATACCGGGGTGGTTGTCCAGTCCCCTCCTCCGCCGAATGGGCTGGTTCAGGTACTCCGGCCTCGGGTACCGTCTCGGGCACATCCTCCCGTGCTTCTGCGTCCCTAGCTCCCTCCTGGCGCGAAGAGGTGAGCCGGGCAAGGGAGTGGAGGGGGCGCGCGGGGCGCAAGGGCAGCTTTGGGTCCGGCGCTGGCATCTGCTGGGGAGATGGAGAAGGTTCCAGTAGGGAAATTTTTCCCTCTGAAGTCGAATTCTTCCTAAAACCTGGTCCCTCCCCTAACTTCAGATTTGCATTTACATTTTAAAGCTTTGGGCTGCCAGTCTTCCTTGATCCTTGAATAATCCATTAAAGCGCGAGGCTGAATTCAGTAGGGGAAAGATCCAGGACCCCTGGCGGGAGTTTGCCAGGAAGCTGTCCTCAACAGCCTGTCCAAGCAGAAGAGACCTTGATAAGGGACACTGGGGTGTGAAGAGCACGGGGTCTAGCCTGGGCTGGTGGCAGAGCCAAGAATGGCAGGCTCAAGGGCAGTCCTGAGGCCAGACCTCCCTTTGGCGGGAGGGTGGGCCATGCTGAATCCTGCAGGTCCAGCCTCTTACCCCCACCCCCCACCCCTGCCTCCCAGTAGAGACTATTGCAGTGTTCTTCCCTTGAGAATCCATGATGAAGCTATGGAGATGGTCTCAGTGTCAGCAGAAAGGGATCTGCGCTGGCTGCCCTGGACCACAAGTCTCCTCCACGGAGGTCTCCCACATCTAGCCTGCGGGGGGCTTGGGCATCAGGGCCCTGCTTTTCCTACTGGGCGAGCTTGTCCGGTCTGGGATTGTGGGTGGGAGTGAAGTAGGTAGTGCAGTTTAGAGGTGCAGTGTGGGAGGGCTGCCAGCCTGCGGGGGGGATAGAATAGACTGCCTCAGAACACACCCCTGGCTTCATCAACACTTCCTTCATTAGGGTGGGCCAAGAGCGGCTGCTCCTATAAAAACCCCATCGTGCTGGGGAGTTGGTATGTTGGAGGGGTATAGGCTGGGGGGGGGCGGTGCTGGAAGAGGAAGCGCCAGAATCATGTAGAGGCTGTAAATGCACCTCCCTAGACATAGTTAATATGTTCGTGGAAAAATATTGAATCATATTTTAAATCTATCGTTGAAATTGATTTCGCATGCACTTACCACAGTTTACTATTTAAGGAAGCTTATCATAATTTCCCTATTCATTTCAATCATTTTATTTTTGGAGCACCTGTGGTTTGCTGGGCCTAGAGCTTCCCGGGGATGTGCGTAGGTGAGAGGCACACACCCTGCTGCCAGGGTGTCGGCCTGGCGGGAAAAGCAAGAGGAATCTATGGAAAGCCGTGATGGAAACCGGTGCACCGAGGCATGTAGTAGGGGCTCTTGCTGATTGGATAAAAGAATGAAGGAATAACTGGATGAATAAAGTAACCAATGTGCGGCGCAAATAAAGCATTTGGGGCATATGGAGGAAGACACTTTTTTTTCTTCTTAGTGCTGGGGACTAAACTCAGAGTTCTAATCTGCATCTCTAACCTATTATTATTATTATTTTATTTATTTTTTTTAGATGCGCTTTCCAATTTTAGTATATGTGCTGCCGAAGCGAGCACAGATGCGCTTTCCTTAAATTGTCCATGCTGGTTTCAAACTTGTAATACTCCTGCTTCAGCCTTCCAAGTAGCTGACATTGTAGGGATCAGTGACGTCAGTAGCTAAACGCAGTTGCTTTCAACTAAGAGGATCTGACAGCCTTTGTGGAAGAGGTCCTAGGCATAAGAGATAGGCGCTAAAAGGTTGGTCCTGAGTTAGGACTAAACCTTTTGGGTTTCCGTGGGGCAGAAGGCTGAGCTAAGGAGAGGAAGAGCGGAGTTTTTCCAGTCAGTAGGTCAGCGAGGTACACACTGTCAGGCTGTGTACTTTTGCTCTTGCAGAAAGTGTCAGGAGCCAGGAGCCCAGTGAGAAGATTATTTCAGCAAGATGGTTTGGGAGACAGTGGAGATTGAGCTGGGGGCAGGCAGTGGCTAGGAAGAAGGCGAAGACTTGTCAGAAATAGCCTCCAAGCGCAGCCTTTAGTCTGAGGTGGACAGCAGAAACTAAAAGCAGCTGCAGGTTATGGGCATACGTACATGGACTAAAATAGGGAGTTCGGGGATTTTACAGTTGACAAGCCAGTAAGCTGGGGCAATCCTTGGATAGTTCTCATCCTCGGTTTTCATTGCTTCTCCTTGTAAAATCTATCGGTGGCTTCCTGTGGATAAATTACAAATTCTATGCACTCTTTTGATTTATCACACAGCACACACAGACACACAGCACACACACATACACACACACACACACACACACACACACAGATTCATATAGACAGGAGGCATAGACCTCATGATCTACCATGATTTGTGACTTTCCAAAGCTATTTTTCTTAGTTGGCTGTGGTAGGGATTGGCTCCTAGAATCTCTTTTCCTCATTATCCTGATAAACTGATTATTCTTCAGGATCCAGCTTAATGGCCACTTCCTTTGCGGTGACTCTGCGCTGCTCTCCAGGAGGTGAGGAGCATTTCTCCTTTAACCCCATCTCTGTTCCTGCAGTCCCCTGTGAGCATGCTTATCTTTTTGTTTGTTTGTTTGTTTGTTTGTTTGGCAGAAGTGGGGGGTGTTGAACTCAGGCCCTTGTGCTTGCCGGGCAAGTGCTTACTCTAACTGAGCCATCTCCCTGGCCCCTTTTTTAAATTTAATTTAATTTCTTTTTATTTATTTATTTTTTGAGCATCCTTATCAAGCTTCCCTGGGCTTATCACTCTAGGACCTTATCATATTCAGGTTCAAATAATCCTGGAACAGTTGCCTATCATCGTCCCCAGGTTAGAAAGGAAGAGAGACAGGGCAAAACATCCCAGGCTCATTGTTCTTGAGGGTATTATCTGGACCCCGACTTGGAGGCTGCAGGCCTCATGGGCTGGACAGTATTACACAGCTGGGGTTACCACCTTGGTCTAGATTGCCTGGGTTTAAGTGACTCAGACCACAGTGGTAGGGAACATCCCCCTCCAGACATGGCCCCACGTGCATCTCAGGGCGACCACAAGAAAAGAAAACCCAAGAAAGGTGAGCCCGTAGAAGATCTGTACCACAGGCAAAGAGAGGTGCATCTCTTTGAGCACAAACTTGGAGATGCAACAGTTTTAACCTCTTTTTTCTATCTTCAAAAGTGTCCCCATAGCTGGGCATGGTGGTGCACACCTGAGTTCCCAGAACTCCAGAGGCTGATGCAGGAGGATCACTGTGAATTCAAGGCTAATCTGGGCTCTGTACTGACTTCAAGGCTGACCTGAGCTGCATAGTGAGACCCTGTCTCAAAATAATAATAAATAAATAAATAAATAAATAATAAAAAATAAGAATAGAAGTGTCCCCACAGTTCCAAGTAGGACAGGTTCTATTTCAGAGACAGGGAGAGTGAACCAGACAAGCCCTTGAGGGAGGCAGGTAGACAGCTGATCAGGCAGGAAAGTCTAAAAGAAGAGCTGACATCCAGAGGGATGGAAGGAGAAGGCTGATGACAGACTGGGAAGGGCCTGTGAAGGATGATTGTGGAGCCAGATCCCAAGGGATAAGGGAGAAAGTGATGAGCAAGATGGTGAGCGGGGTCCAGACATGAGCCAGCTACGGACCACCCCAAGCATCTGGGGTAGGCAGGAGCCTTGAGGGAGGCTCACTCAGGAGATTCCCCCAGTGTTCCCTCCCAGGCAAAAGAGAAGTGCAGAGAATGGAGAAGCCAGAAAAGGGGTGCTGGGGTGGGGAGGGCCAGAGACCCTCAAGAGCAAGTGCAGGGAAGGAAGTTCTGACATCTGCCTTCCTTGGGGGGCTGGAGGGAAGCAGGGGCTGTGGGTGGCACTGGAGAGAGCGAGCCACAGTCCAGCACCAGGAAAGGAGCTAAGGGGATGGTGGGGTCTGCCCGAAAGAGAGGGCAACTGCTGAGACCGAGGAAGGCACTCAGTGAGGCTGGGGTGTGGTGGAGAGGCTGTGGGACAGCTGCTGCTCAAGGAGGTGCCTGCAGCCCTGTGCACCTTTGGTGGCCACCAAGAGGGATGGGAAGGGCTCTGGACGGCTGGGATCCAGGCAGTGCAGAGAGCCCTTTGCTGGCTGAGCACTGGAGTTTCAGAGGCTTCATTTGCTCCTGGGTAAAATGGGTACAATGGCTGCTTCAGAACTGTTCCTCGGAAGGGTCCAGAGAGGTGCTGGGGTGTGTGTGTGAGTCCCCCAAAGACGGCATCTGGCATGCAGGGGTCCTTCGGAATAGCATGGTGAACAGTGAGTAAGCCTCTCACCTATGTCAGGGAGTCAGGGAGAGGCCCTGCTCGTAGGAGGCAGGCCTTGTCCAAAGTACCGTAAAACCTTCAGAAGGAAAGGATAATGTTTTGTGGACCATCTATTTGAGTGTATGTGTGTGTGTGGCAGTTTTTAAATTATTAGTTTTTCAAATCAATACTTTTTTTGGTTTGTTTTTTTTTGTTTTTTTTTTTTTGCTCCGAATGCCCTCAGGGGTGCTTTGGCTGGCTGGAGTGTTGTGGAGATCGAACTCCAGCAACCTGAGGCTGACAGCTTTGTGGAAGCAGCCACTTAAAGAACTGAGCTAGGGCCAGGCCCCCTCAAATCAATACTTTTTAATGGAAACAACT